AACAATAATCCTGACTCACTGTATCCCGAAGGAGATGAGAGAGACGCTAACAACAAGGAGGTCCAGGAGGTTGAACCAGTTCCTGCAGAAGGAGCCTTTGTGCAAAAAGGCGCCATATGCCGTCATCTGAAAAAAAAGAGACACGAGGGTAGGGGAGGGAAGGAGACGTGTTATACGTCGGTCACAGGAACAAGGAACTGCAAAATGGTTTAGACACGAATATATATTACAGGAGAATGCAACGAAAAAAGAAAGATCTAAACGTTTCATTGGCACGTTGATGAGGGGGAAAGTAGGAACCGCCAAAGGCAAAATATCACCAGATTACATTTCTAGACCGGTTATAACTAGAGGTGCGTCTAAATGGTCATTTCAAAACCGAAATAAAAAAAATATGTCAGGCCCAAAACCGGAAATGTTTTTTATTTTAACTTTTTCTAATTTTTTAATATTTATTTTTATTTATTTTTTATAAACCCGAGTCAAACAGGGACATCACCGATACCCCCCTTATCACCCAGGTCAACCTTGGACATCACCAATCCCCCCCCTCCCTCCTATCACCCGGACCTTATCACTTGGGTCAACCTGGGACATCATCAATCCCCCCCCCTTATCACCCGGGTCAACCTTGGACATCACCAATCCACCCCCTTATCACCCGGGTCAACCTTAGACATCACCAATACACCCCCTTATCACCCGGGTTAACCTTGGACATCACCAATACACCCCCTTATCACCTGGGTCAACCTTAGACATCACCAATACACCCCCTTATCACCCGGGTCAACCTTAGACATCACCGATACCCCCCTTATCACCCGGGTCAACCTTCTTGATCACCAATACCCCCATCACCCGGGTCAACCTTAGACCCCCTTATCACCCGGGTCAACCTTAGACATCACCGATACCCCCCTTATCACCCGGGTCAACCTTCTTGATCACCAATACCCCCATCACCCGGGTCAACCTTAGACATCACCAATACACCCCCTTATCACCCGGGTCAACCTTGGACATCACCAATACCCCCCCTCCCCCTTATCACCCAGGTCGACCATGGCTTTAGTTATTGTAACTACAATGACATGTTGGAAAGCCCCTGAACAATGACACTGTAAAGACAGAAAAATGGAAAGAGATGTTTGACTCTTGTTACCTTAAGCAGGATCTCTACGGTAAAGATAGAGGTAAACGCATAATCAAAATAGCCCAAAATCTGCAAGAAAAAGAAAAACATACAAGAAAATGAGAGCAACTAACCGCTGGGCTGCAATCTAGTGCAGGGGCTTAACCTTTTTGTGATTATAGGCCCCCCTTGGATTTCCCTGGTTGTCCCTATACCCTCTTGATCAGACCGTCGTCATCATCATCATCACCAGTCCTATTAGGTATTAGTATGACTTCAAGAGTTGTCATTTGCTTGGATTTACTTATTTAAATAGCTGGGAAAAGAGCAGCTGAAAGAAAGTCATTAGGATTTAATTATATTTAATTACATAAATCACAAATACATCCAGCCAGCTTCAACTATAGAAACTTCTGCTGTTCTTGTGCAATCGAAACATGGAATGGAGGTCCAGTCATTGAGTGTTACTCGAACATCATCTGGCACATCAAGTTTTTGATTTCAGGTTCAATAATGCAGAGAATCCTTTTTCCGCAGAGAATAGTAGTTGTGGGGGGAACCCAAGCATTCATTACCCTCAAGGGTTAGAACCTCTGATCTAGTTTGTATCTCCACATTGGTACTCGCATGGCTTGGAAAGGAATGGGCACAAATAAAATCATGCTTTGTGAATCTATAGATCTAGTCCCATCCTCCAACATTTGGTTCCCATACTCCCAACAGGTATGGACACTCAAGGTTAAGAACCTCTGATCTAGTTTGTATCTCCACATTGGTAATCACACAGTTTCAAAAGCAGTGGGCACAAATACAATCAATCTTTGGTGACTCTATACATCCAGTCCTATCCTCCATCGTTTGGTCTCCATACCCCCAAGGGGTATGGATTGGACACTCAAGGTTAAGAACCTCTGATCTAGTTTGTATCTCCATATTGGTACTCATGTGGTTTCGAAAGCAGTGGGCACAAATAAAATCATGCTTTGTGAATCCATAGATCCAGCCCTATCCTCCACCATTTGGTTCCCATACTCCCAACAGGTATAGACACTCAAGGTTAAGAACCTCTGATCTAGTTTGTATCTCCACATTGGTACTCACACAGTTTCGAAAGCAGTGGGCACAAATACAATCAATCTTTGGTGAATTCATAGATCCAGTCCCACACCTCCATCATATGATTCATATACCCCCAACAGGTAAGCATACGCAAAGTTAAGAACCCCTGATCTAGTTTGTATCTCCACATTGGTACTCATGTTGTTATTGAATGGAGTGGGCACAACAAAAAATCATGCTTTGTGAATCCATAGATCCAGCCCTATCCTCCACCATTTGGTTTCCATACCCCCAACAAGTATAGACACTCAAGGTTAAGAACCCCTGATCTAGTTTGTATCCACACATTGGTACTCACATGGTTTTGAAACCATTGATCACGAATAAATTATTTGGTGAATCCAATGATCCACTCCTATACCTCCTCCATCATTTGGTTTCCATACCCCCAAGGGGTATGGATACTCTTGGTTAAGATCCCTTGATCTAATTTGTATCTACACATTGGTACTCACATGGTTTTTGAAGGTGTGGGCACAAATAAATGTATTCTTTGGTGAATCCATACATCCGCTCCCATTCCCCCGCCATTTGGTTCCCTTACCGCCAACAAGTATAGATACTCTTGGTTAAGAACCCCTGATCTAGATTGTATCCACACATTGGTACTCATGTGGTTTCAAAAGGAGTGGGCATGAATAAATTCATTCTTTGGTGAATCCATAGATCCAGTCCCATTCCTCCACCATTTGGTTCCATTACCACCAACAGGTATACAGTAGATACTCTTGGTCAGGGGTAGCCAAACTCCGGCCCCCTCAGCTGTGGTGGAACTACAAATCCCATGAGGCATTGCAAGATTCTCACAGACATGACTCCCAGAGAGAGATGCATCATGGGATTTGTAGTTTCACCACTGCTGGTTTGGCTACCCCTGCTCTTGGTTAAGAACCCCTGATCTAGTTTGTATTGGTACTCATGTGGTTTCAAAAGGAGTGAACATGAATAAATTCATTCTTTGGTGACTCCATAGATCCGGTCCCATACCTCCATCATTTTTTTTGCATACCCCCAAGGGGTATATGTACTTATGGTTAAGAACCCTTGATGTAGTTTGCATTTTCACATTGGTACTCATGCGGTTTTAAATGGAGGGGGATGAATGAAATCATTATTTGTTGAATCCATTGATCCAGTTCCATACCTCCATCATTTGGTTACCATGCCCCCAACAGGTATGGATACTCAGGATTAAGAACCTCGGATCTAGTTTGTACCCACCCATTGGTACTTACATGGTTTCGAAAGGAGTGGGCGCGAATGGGATCCTCTGCTGCCAGAGAGATGCTGCTGAGGATAATGAAGACCAGGATGAGGTTGGTAAAAATGTGATGATGTATCAGTCGATGACACCCAACTCGGAGGCTGAAACAAAGACAAATGCAATGCGTATTTACAATCTGTATCAGAGTAAGTCTATAAGAATTGTTAGGTGAATGAGTTATTTGTATTATTATATGCAGCTTTGGAACCATCCTTGGTTGTCCTGCCCAGATCTGCCCCAGGTTACCTCTTCTCTGGCAGCATGAGATGACTTAAAGGTCAAGGACAGCAAGAGTCTATTGGTCTGTACACATTTAACCCCTTGCTGACTGCTGTGTTACACCCTCTTCCAGGGGCGTCCCGAGGCTGGGTGACACCCGGAGCGGTGTCGGAGTGTCACCCCGCCGAGACGTCACCGCGCATGCGCGTGACGTCACCACGCATGCGCGTGACGTCACCACGCGTGTGCGCAATTACATCATCGCGCACGCGCGGCAGTATTCTGATACCTGCCAGGGCCATCTTGGTGATAGACGCCGGCAGCGAGAGGAGGAGACAGCCACTCGGCGGGATAAGATATGCCGCCGGGTCCCATCACCCGGGTGACTCCACTGCCCCCTTCCTGTCCAGGCCATTTTTCAGTATTCAGCACTGCGGTACTTTGACTGAAACTTATTCTGTCATGCAACGCATTTAATACCCGTTTTTGGGGACAGATAGAGCTTTCTTTTGGTGGTATTTAATCACCGCTGGGATTTTTATTTTTTTACTATATAATGAAAAACGTACTGAAAATGTAAAAAAAGAAAAACTGTTTTCCCTTTATTATGTTAGGAAACATTTATTATCACCCCAATTTTTGGGTAAAACATAAAAGAATGATAACAATTAACTATGTGATAACAATTAACTTTATTGTTATCACATAGGGGGATAAGAATCCCCCTATATGATATCAAATTACAGTGACAAGTCCCCTTTATGGAGACATCAGGGGTCTCTAATGTCACCTAGGGACCCCCAGAGAAGCTGACGAAGTACAGATATGCTTCGCCAGCTTCTCTCCGGCTTCTGTAGCGGCAGAGTGACAGAGGAATGCGGACGTGATGTAGTAAACATCACTTGCTGCATTCAGAGACCGGGGGGGAGAGCGAAGGGAGATTGTGTATTGATCTTCCTCCGCTCTCAGTGCAGGGAGCCACATTGCCAGTACCAGATCAGATGCCCGGGATCACGGGGACCTGATCCCGGTGAGGAGAGGTAAGGAGGCCCACAGAGACATGCATCATACAAGCGACCGGGCGTCTTTACAGACGCCGGACCGCTTGTATGTAAACAGCCATCGCTGACTGTTTCACATTCTGGTGGTTTTCGTGTGCGGGTAAGAAGGACGTTTACAGACGCCCATCCGCATTCAGAAGACTCCCATCCGGCCGTTTCTGAACGTTCGGTGGACGGGAGGTGGTTAAAGACCTGTAGGTAGCTGCTTTATGTATTTGGTGGTTAAGAGCAGTAAGAGCTCTCTGCTATAGAAGTCGGCAATTGGTGAATGGCCATCTATAACATACTTGGTTCAAACGGGCTCCATGCAGTGGCAGAACTATAGTCAATGCGGACCCAGGCGGCCTCTATGGGGCTCGGGGGTTCCTGGCCAGGAAGAGGAACAAAGGGGGTCCTCCTGATGCCGTGCGGGCCGCCTGGGTCACTATGGCATCGCAGGCTGCTGGCTGTAACTGGCGGCTGGGAGGAGGAACACACCGCTGTTCAGATCACACTGTGCAGCGGCGCGTTCCTCCTCACAGCCGCTGCTGAGTCAGTGACAGCAAGAAGTTGTGGAGGAGGCGGGGCTTGGCATCGGCGGAGGAGGAGGCGGGGCCCGGCGATGGAGGAGGCGGGACCCACCAGCAACCGTGGAGGAGGAGGTGGGGCCCGGCAGTGGAGGAGGCTGACAGAGGATGGGGGCTGACAGGTAAGAGGTGTGCAGGGGTGTGACTATGGTGGGCTCTGCAGGGTCACTCTCAAGGTGGGCTGTGTGGGATCTCAGGCGGGCTCTACAAGAGGCGTAACTAGAAATCACGGGGGCCCCGTACAAAAATTTGCTCAGGGGCCCTGTGATTTCTAGTTACGCCCCTGGCTCCATGTATGATAATAATCTAAAGTGTCTGTGTTATTCATACCAATCAATCCAAGCCCATCTGTCACTGTGTATAGAGCAGAATAGAAAATGAACGTTCTGATTGGCTGCTACTGGCAGCACAGACATCCTTTTTCACACAGATTTCAATCTGAGGTCCTCTGCCAGTATTATAAAAAAAAAAAAAAAGAAGGGAATTTCATGGGCACGTGAATGTCTCATATCTTTGAGAAGCGTCTTACCAGTTGGTGTTGCTGAGAATGAAGAAGGCGCTACCCTCTGGGATCGGAAGAACTTTCTCCTTTGGGGCAAACTCTGCCAATTTATCCAGATGGGAGTCCGGGAGGCTTCCTTCCTCGTCTTCCTCCTCCTCCTCCTCAGCTGGAAAGACATGTAGAGAGATCACACCACCTCCTTATAATAATAATAATAAGCAGTTACATCTACTCCCCCGTTAGAACTCACATCTTGGGCTTCTGATACCATGCGCTGGGCCAATTAGAGACAACCTTCTTCACTATGGTGGACGCCAATGTCACACACACGATCGCTTTGGTGAAAGTTAAATGCCGCAATATACGGCAGGGCTGAGTCCAAGATGCATCCAGTGCGGAGCAAAGTGCCATTGAGTACTGACAACTGGATCCATACCATCATCCATCTGATGAATACTTTTCAAGCCCTACCCAGAGACCCCCTAAATGAAGAAGGGCTCAGATGACTATAATATGGAGATGGTGCAATATGAAAGCTGGCAAACAGCTAAACACACAGGTGAAATGCATGTAAGGGAGCCATATTGGTTGCCAAAGGGTTTTTAGTTCTGTCCATCCAACCCCCGTTACAGTCAGGTCTATAAGAAAGACTCCTAATACTTACTCAGCATTCCATTCAAGCCAATTGAGTATAGACTGTTCTCCATCAGCTGGAAACTGACAGGTCTGAACCTGAAAGGGCTCAGAGCTGAATGCTTCTGGGTTCATGCATCACAAGGGGGATTGACTCCCCTCTGCTGTCCATCCTGAAGGTGATCCCATACTTTCACAGAAGCCCAG